AGGAGTACATAGAACAAGCCTGGTTTTTGAGGGCTGGCTCCCTTCTGGCCCCGCTGCCCACAAATCAAGTCAAACCTGGGCAAGGGAGGTGTCACCAGAAGGAAGCAGAATTTGAGGAGAAAGTACCAGCTTTCCTAGAGCAAGTCAGGGGTGGCCCACAGGGCCACTTTCCATCCTTAGGACTATTACATCTTTGATTCTTTTCTGTTTCTTCTCTACAGACAAGCAGTGCAAGTCTAGGTCCTGCCGGCTAGGAAACTCAGGTAGGGCTGCAGGCCTCTGGGACAGGGGCTCCATTGGGGGATGTGCGGGCTGCCCTGGGTGGCTCCTTTATAAGAAAAACCACCCTCTTCTAATAAAAAGTAAAGTAAACCCTCTAGAGCAGACACCTGTGGGGATTGCTAACCTCCCCCAGGGGATGTAAGGGGCAGTGGCTGGGCGACCTGACACCTCTGCCCTCTCTCTGGGCCTCCCTCCCTCACAGGAGACAGCTGATCAAGCCCCAGAGAGGTCCTTCTCGCAGAGGTGATGGAGGGCAGGGCCGATCTCACACAGTCCTCCCCGGGCCTTCCCCTCCCTCACCTGGGGAACCCTCTGTCCCTGTGACTGCCCTCAGCGCTCCCTCAGACCACCTTCCAAGGTGGAGGCCGGTATTAGAGACCTGGGCTCTAGTCCAGGCCCTGCCCTCTCTCTCTTTGTGACCAATTATTCCCTCTCTGGGCCTCAGTTTCCCTATTTGTATAAAAAACCAATTGGATTAGATGATTCCCAGGTCACTTTCAGCCATGACTTCCCTTCCCTTCAACACCTGCTGTGCCAGGGCCCACCTGGACTACCACTTCTCTAAGTGGGAACAGGCTTTTCCAAGGGAACCTATTGGAACAGGCCATTCCCAGGGAAGAAACCACAGCTGCCCTCCTCGTGGGTCTCTCCTCCCTCCCTCTGGGCTCTGTGAACAGTGGACAAAAGGAGCCCCAGCCCCAGCCCCAGCCCTCGCTGTGTCCTCCTCATTCTCCATGACACAGCACCACTCAGAGTTCCAGGCGCAACAGGCCATGGATCCACACCAAGAGCCAGCTGTGGGTACTGTCATCACCCTGCTTCTACAAATGAGGGAACTAGGGCACAGAGAGGTGAAGCAACCAGCCCTACACCACACAGCTAGTAAGGGGTGAGGTTCAGAGAGACTGACCCTAGAGCCAAACTCTGAGCCACCTTTCCAGGCTGGCCCCTCCTCCCCGCTACCATTTCATTTTACCCTTTACTGCACAGCAATCTATCGGAAGGAGGCGGAACAGGGAGTATTACCCTCATTATAAAGTAAAGTAAGACCCAGAGACGGAAGTGACTTTCCCAAGGTGACAGAATGAGTCAGTGTCAGAGCCAGGGCCAGAAGCCAGGTCTCCAGCCTCCAACCTGCTTCTTTGAGGTGTTTTTTTAAAGTATATTTTTACTGATTTCAGAGAGGAAGGGAGAGGGAGAGAGTGAGAGAAACATCAATGATAAGAATCATTCATTGGCTGCCTCCTGCATGCCCCACGCTGGAGATTGAGCCCGCAAACTGGGCATATGCCCTGACCTGGAATCCAACTAAGACCTCCTGGCTCATAAGTCAACACTCAACTCTTAAGCAACGCTATCCAGGCGCTTCTTTGAGTTTTGATAATGAAATTTCATGCGCTGGAAAAGTTTAAGATCTCCCCCACCTCCGGCCCACCAGCACCTCTCCTACCAGGGTTTGGGCAGAGAAGCTAAGATTAGAATCACTAGTTCCCATTCAGATCTCTACCCATTTCATCCCACCCTGTGATGCCTCATGTGTGTCCATAGGAGGCAGGAGGACAGACCTCATCACCCTGGTATGTCCTCGTCTCTTCATCTCTGTTTGCCTTCTTCCTTAAATTCTTTTTTAAATTAAAATTCATTGGGGTGACATTGGTTAATAAGATTATTTAGGTTTCAAGTGTACATTTCTATGATACATGAGCTGTGTATTGCACTGCCTGCCCACCAGCCAAAGTCAAATCACCTCTCATCACCATACATTTGACCTTTTTACCCTTTACTACCCCTACTCCCTTCCCTCTGGTAACCACTGTACTGTTGTCTGTGCACATGGGTTTTTGTTTGTTCATTTGTTACTTTCAGTTTTATATCTCACATATGAGTGAATTCATGGTTCTTTTTAAAAAATTTATCTTTATTGTTGAAAGTATTACAGATGCCACCCTTTTTCCTCCCACTGACCCCTTCCACCCCACTCCCACCCTCCCATATGTTTTAATTTTTTAAAGACTTCAGAGAGGGAGAGGGAGAGATAGAAACATCAATGATGAGAATCATTGATTGGCTGCCTCTTGCATGCCCCCTCCTGGGGATCGAGCCCACAACCCGGGAATGTGCCCTTGACCGGAATCAAACCCAGGATCTCTCAGTCCCCAGGCCGACACTCTATCCACTGAGCCAAACCAGCTAGGGCCCCCCCATATGGTTCTTAACTTTTTTCTGACTGACTTATTTCGCTTAGCATAATAAGTCTATCCATGCTGTTGCAAATGGCAGTATTTCATCTTTTCTTATGTATTCCATTGTGTGTGTGTGTGTGTGTGTGTGTGTGTATATATATATATATATATATATATATATATATATATATATATATATATCTCACACCCTCTTTATCCAATCATCTATCAAAGGATGCTTTGTTTCCATGTCTTGGCCACTGTGAATAATGCTGCAGTGAAGATAAGGGTGCATATATCTTTGTGAATAAATGTTTTCAAAATTTTCAGGTAGATAACCAAAAAAGGGGTTGCTGAGTTATATGGTAACTCTAGTCCTAACTTTTTGAGGAGCCTCCATACTGTTTTCCACAGTGGCTGCACCAGTTTACATTCACACCAACAGTAAATGAGGGCTCCTTTTTCTCCACAATCTCTCCAACACTTACTACTTGTCGTGTTGATATCAGCCGTTCTACCAGGTGTGAGGTGGCATTTCATGGTAGTTTTGATTTCATTTCCTAATAGCTAGTGAAGTTGAGCACCTTTTCATGTATCTGTTGGCCGTTTGTATGTCTTCTTGAGAGAGGTATCTGCTCAGGTCATCTGCCTATTTTTTAAATTAGATTGTTTGTTTGCTTGGTGTTGAGTTGTCTGAGTTCTTTATGTATTTTGGATAATAACCCCGTGTCAAAGCTGTTGTTTGCAAATATCGTCTCCCAACCTCTCTAAATTCTTGCTCTTCATCTGTGTCTCCCATCGCACTGTAGGCACCAGTGTTTCCAGCTCACCCTGCTTGTTTTTTGTCTTGTTTCTTTGTGTAACTCACTTCACCCCTAAATATCTCTCTTCCTCTGTTTCCCTGCAGCCATGGGTCAGGGCCCTCTGTCTACAGTCTGGTCCTTTCCTCTGCTCCTCTGGTTCCTGGTCGGGGGAGTCTTCCCAGAGAGTCCAGGCCTCCTCTGACCCATCAGACTCTGAACAGCCCTGCCTGCCACCTCCGCCCAACATGAGGACGTCGGCCACATGTGTGCTTTACTATAAGTGTAGCCAAGATCCGTAGAAATGCCACCTGCAGGGAACTCTGGGACCTTCTCTGGCAGCTGCCAGGCCTGATGGTGGAGAGATAGAATTTTGGGCCTGAACTTTACCCAGTGCTCTAGGAGTGAGACATTGAAGAGAGGTAGGGGGACTCCAGGACAGGCAACAACTCACTTGGAGGTAGAAGATTAAACTCATTTGGGCGTGGAGGTGCTGGGAGGAAAGCACGTGCCATGGTACTTGCTGGTGTCACATGCCTCACATGGACAACTGGAAAGCTCCTATTCACTCTCCAGGGAGCTTTCTCTGACCTCTCTGACCCTGCTGGGTTAGGGTGCTGCCTCTGTGCTCCGCAGGTCCTGGGAGCTTCTCTACACCACATGTCCACGTCTGTTGCCCGTGACAGGATGTGAGCTTCCTGAGGTCAGGGGCTGGGTTGCAGCAAAGAGGTGGATGCTGGGAAGCATGTGAAAGTCAGAAAGGAACAAATACCTGTGAACAGCTGGTCCCTGCATGGCCCTCCCTTGGATACTTTCAAGTCCTCTGAACGTCAGTGTGGGGGAATGTGATGGACAGAAGCAAACCCAGAGAGAGGAGAGCAGGAAAGACAGCAGACGGCTTGCTTTAGGCCCTCTGCCGGGTCTCGGTCAAATCCGTCATTTTCTTGTCAGCAAAGATGTAACTCCTGTTCTCACCCATGAGTCCTAAGGTTCCTGTTTCTAGAGAGACAAACCTGGATCCCCATCTCCTGTCACCATGGGCCCCAAGGGTAAGACAGGATATCGAGGAGGTACCGGGCACACACTCCCTTTATGAGGAATTGGGGCTTTAGGGCCAAATCTTTGTGTGGCCTCCTGCTCTGGAAACTAGATCATAAATCTGAATCCCCAAACCCCTTCCCTGAGCCCTTAGATAGGGACAGGCAAGACCAAGCTCCTATAACAGCAGCCACTAAGGAAGGAAGAGAAGGCAGGCAATGTTGCAGTTCTGTTTCGCATATAACTTGCACTCTCCCCACTGAAAACTCTAACATTCATTAATGAAGTTCAATTCTGTCCCTCTAGGACTGCACTTTGACCTTGAACCTTCTTAGAGTTCTTCCCCTATAGGAATTAAGGGAGTGGCAAGCTCTAGATTTTTCTTAGAGATCAGGATACATAGACAAACAAGTGCTCCCTCGTGGTTTGTGAAGTCAGCAGTGCTGACCCTGAGAAAGGGTGTCCCAGGCTCTAAGGCAGGGATGGCGAACCTTTTGAGCTCGGCATGTCAGCATTTTGAAAAACCCTGACCTAACTCTGGTGCCGTGTCACATATAGAAATTTTTTGATATTTGCAACCATAGTAAAACAAAGATTTATTTATTTTATATATTTAAATGCCATTTAACAAGGAAAAATCAACCAAAAAAGTGAGTTCGCGTGTCACCTCTGACACGCGTGTCATAGGTTCGCCATCACTGCTAAGGTGCAGTGGGGAGAGACTGGGTGGCCTATCTGAGGGCCAGCAACCACCTAGTCTTCCCATCCCTGTCGCATTGCTGTGGCTGCAGCAGACCCCGATTCACAGCGCCTGCACGAGCACCAGGAGGCTCATGACCAGGGCCATGGAGAAGAAGATGCCCAGGAAGAAGCGATCCATCACACGGGCCAGGCGTTTCCAGTCCTCGTGGCGGTGCTGGGCAGCCCGGTGGCTGCGGAAGGTGTTAGCAATGGTGGCTACATGGTGCAGCAGCTCTTCCTGATGGCACAGACACCGGGGCTCATGGCAAGGGCCTGCTGGGGGGCCAGCCCCTCCCTCAGGAGGCTGGGGACTGGGGGGTGACTCGTGCCGTCTAGACTTCCCACAGGGCTCCCCTCGTTCTCGCACGCACAGGCCCCGTGCCAGGTATCCCAGTAGGAAAGCCCGAGCCCAGGCCGGCACTGGACGGGCACTAGGACCACAGTAATGCAAGTTCATGATAAGGATAGTGAGCGCTGTGGAGAAGGTGATCATGGTCATGGTGGCCATGTAGTACTTCCCTGCAAAAGACAGAGCGAGCTGGGGCCCAGAAAAAGAGCTCGGGGCCTGAGCTCCCCAGCCCCCTCAGCATGAAGGGGCTGTCGGGCCCTCCAAGCCCCAAGAGGCTGTCGGGCCCTCCAAGCCCAGTGGATGAAAAAGGAAGGAGGTAAGGGCCAAGTCTGCCAAGTCTCCCCAGTCCGCATTCCCACAAGTGGGTTCTCAGAAGCTAAGTGCTGCTGATTTCCCCCCTCACTGCTGGAGGCTGCGTTTACCCACAAGTCGCCTCTCTAACGGTTATGCCATGACATGGGGCCGGTGACGGACCCTTTCAGTACAGGGGGGCATTCAACAGAACCTGCCTGTCGTCTGTGGAGATGCTTCCCTGGGTTAATTAAGGTCCACTGCTTAGCACAGTGCTTGGCACAGTGAACACTCAGGACACTTGGCCTGTCCTTATGACCCTGGGGGCAGTGACCTCCCTCCATCAGGTTCTTGAGAAAAGACTCTTTCCTCTGCCCCTTCCTGTAAGGCAGTGGTTCTCAACCTTGGCTGCACATTAGAATCACCTGGGAATCTTTTTAAAATCCTGATTTCTGGGCCTCATCCTCCGGAAATTCTGTTTCGTTGTTACTAACGTTGTGGCCTCACCCCATAACAAACAGAATTTCCGGAGGATGAGGCCCAGAAATCAGGATTTTAAAAAGATTCCCAGGTGATTCTAACGGGCAGCCAAGGTTGCGAACCACTGCTGTAAGGGGGGTGTCCTCCTGGAAGGGGCTTCCTCCTTTCCCCTCAGTCCCGGGAACAGGCGTGCTCCCAGGACGACCCCCTCACACACTGAAGCGGGGCCACTCTGGCGACCCGAGCCCCGTCCCCGCACTGGTGGGGACCCGCACGCATCCGCCGGAGTGGGGAAGGGGGGCCATTGTCTCGGAGGGGACGGCTCTTTCCCGCACCCCCACCCCCACCCCCGGCCGGGCCCTCCCCCACTCACCGATGAGCGGCACGCTCTCGGCCGGCGGCATGCTCTCGGCCAGGATCAGCTGGAAGACCGTGAGCGCCAGCAGCACCGTGACGCCCAGCGACACCTTCTCGCCCGAGTCCGCGGGCAGGTGGAAGGCGAGCGGCGCGAGCAGCGAGATGAGCACGCAGGGCAGCAGCAGGTTGCACACGTAGGCGGCGGCGCGGCGGCGCAGCAGCAGCGTGAAGGTCACGTCGGGGTAGGGCTCCGAGCAGCAGCCGTAGGTGAGCACGCGCCGCCGCGCCGGCATGCCCAGCACGCGCCACTCCACGTTCTCCACGAAGTCGGCCAGGCTGGCGCCGCCGCCGCGCGCCCGCACGTCCAGCTGGTGCCCGCCGTGCGTCCAGGAGCCGAAGGTCAGGCCGCAGCGCTGCGCGTCGAACGGGAAGGCAGACACGTCCACGCGGCACGAGCTGCGCGTGATGGCCGGCGCGTCCCAGCGCACGGCGCCGTCGTGCCGCAGAACCACGTTGGTGCTGGCGGAGGCTGGAGGCTGCGCGTCTGCCCTGCGGGAGGCGGAGGATGGGGTTGGGGGGAGGAGGGGAGGGGAAGAGGGGCTTCCTGAGGCAGTGGCCCGGGCCACCCCAGGACAGGAGCCCTAGGCCACCCCAGGACAGGAGCCCTAGGCCACAGTGCCCCTGCAGGGAGGATAGATTGTGCCCTGGGGAGGGCCCTGGGTGCTTTTGGAGGCCTGGAAGGGGCAGCGCCTGAGGGCCCAGAAAGGATACTGATCTAGCCCAGGGCGGCAGGAAAGTCCTCTGCAAAAGTTGGCACGTGGTGGCACAGTGACTTCTCTTGGGTGCCATCTGTAAGATTGTGGAGGGGTTCCTGGGGGAACATGCAGAGCCATGTGTTGTCCAGAAAACAGAACTGGCCCGGCCAGGGTGCTCAATGGTTGAGCATCGACCTATGAACCCAGAGGGCAGGGTTGATTCCTGGTCAGGGTTGTGGGTAAGATCCCTGTGGGGCATGAGGGAGGCATCAATGGTTCTCTCATCATTGATGTTTCTATCTCTTTCCCTCTTCCTTCCTCTCTGAAATCAATAAAAAATAAAAACAAGAAACAGAACTGGCTTAGGCAGCATAAGGGGATGCCCCAGAGGGCCCTAGGCAGGCCTCTGGGGAGCCCTGGGACTCAGAGCCAGCCTGGAAGGGAGGAGTGTGCCATGAAGAGCACTGGTGCCCCTGAACCCTCTCTGCCAGAGATACAGAACTGGCCTGGACCGCACAGTGGGTTCCTGGAAGACATTCAGCCGGTTGCCTTGGAACAGCCTCAAGTGGGGATGCCATGGAGGGGCTGTGCGGGGCTGTGAGGAAGCCCACTGAGTCATGTAGCCACCACTGCCAACACCTTCCTGCCAGATTAGAAGGGTCCTGGGGACAACTTCCAGGGCAGCTAACTAGCAACTAGTTCAGTAGGGGAATGAGGGATAAGTGCCTACCCGGAACCAAGGGCAACTCCAGGGAGGGCTAGGAGAGGGGAGGGGCCCAGGCAGGCAGTACTTGTTATAGAGTACGATGTCTGGCCGCCACACTAGACTGCTGGGGATGCGGATGGCATCCAGGCCACCATAGTCATCGGGGTCCCATCGTAAGTAGGCATCTGTCCACTCCTGTCGGATCCACAGGTATAGGGTCAGCACCTGGTTGCGCTCATCCTAGTTGGGCAGGGAATAGGCACAGATGTGGACACATGTGCATGCATATCCTTCCCTGGGTGTGCAACTCACCTACAGAGCTCTAGTCAGTGCCCACAAACCCAACTTGGCCGTACAGCCCAGTTCCCACCCAGGCCTTGTTGTGACCTTGGCCAGTTCTTCTCTGGGCCTCAGCTTCCTTAGCAGTTATATGGGTGATAATCCCTGCTGGGCAGGATTCAAGGGTGCAAAGTTTTGGGCACACTGTGGGCACCTAACAGTATCCAAGTTAGTAGCTGTTATTGTTAATATTAATGTTTACAGAAACTAGTTGTTTGGTGAATCATCCCAGTCCCCCACCCCCAAATTCCTTGACACTGTCACCAGCACATTCCACAGTTGTACAACCACAATGTACCATGTCAATGATCTGGGACAATGTCACCTCCAGGGTCACGTTCAGAGTCTGGTCTGTATCCGCCACAGGTCTCAGGGCACTTGTATAGTTGGCAAAAAGGTCACGGAACAGCTTGTGAGCCAGCCTGCCCTCAGCTCCCAAGCATCCTGGGGGACAAGCAAGAAGGTTTACTCTAGTGCAGGAGCCTCTGCTCACACCCTGCACCTCCACAAGCCTGGGGCTGTCACCTCCACTCTCACAGTGGTCTGACTGGTCCTCCTGATGTCTGCCCTCTGTCCCCAGGCTGTGACTCTAGTTCTTCCCTGGCCTGCCTCCAGGGATGAATGAGGTGAAGTAGGTGGAGCGAATTGATACTCTTTTCTGAAGCAAGGCTGATGGGTTTCTTCCCTACATGTCCCTTCCCAAGGACCTGGATTCGGTCTGCCTTGCCACAAATGCTAAAAGGGGCTGTATAGGCCACAAGAGTGCCAGCTCTCACCCAGGCATCTGAACCCCCTTGCCCAGCCCCCTCCAGTTTCTCAAACCTGCCTCCACTCCTCCTGTTGCACTTCAGTTAATTTCTTCAAGGCTTCTGACACTGTAGGCCAGTCCCACCTAAAAACACACCCTATCCCTAGGCTTTTGTGACACACCATATTGTCCTTAGTCCCTGACTTAAGTATTGCTTCTCAGAATCCCGTTGGTGACCCTCCTCTCCTTTTTCTCCGGTCTGCTGAGCTCCAGATGCATATATACAACAACCAACGCTTGAATGTCCTGTAGGCACCTTAAACTCTCTAGGTCAAAACAGGAGTTCAGAGAACCTGGCTGGAGAACCTAACCAGAACTTGGCTGGAGTTCCTGGCTAGAGATCCTGGCTAGGCTGCTGATCAACTGAACGCTGTCTCCATGTCATTCCTTCTTTGCCGACTCCGTCCACACCTTTGGGGACCCCTGGACCTGCTGGGGTTGGACCCCAGCATCTAAAGTGTTAAAATTATACTTAAGAATATAATTTTTATGCATTAAAAAAAACCCAAATATTTAACTTATGAGAAGAGATGGTAGCATTAATTAGTACCATGTTTCCAATTTTTAAAATATCAACCTAATTATACAGATATAAATAACAGAGAATATTTCGTTTAATATTTTAAGAACAATTAAAATATATATCACTCATATATTTACACCATTCAGTTAAACAATTACAATTGTTCTTGTGCATTTGAAATATGAATTTGATTACATGCTACTTGAAGGCAACCATATCCATACAATTTTATTTTTAATAAAATCTTGGCCATCACATTTTAGAAATAAGAGATTTAATTTTAAAAAGGGGGGGAGAGATTAACCAAAGGATGTGTATGCATGCATATAAGCCTAATCAATGGACACAGACACCAGGGGGTTGAAGGCATGAGTGGGGGTGATGGGGGTGTAATGGGGAGATAAGGACACATATGTAATACCTTAATCAATAAAGAAATTTTTAAAAAGCCAAAAAAAACAAAACAAAACAAAAAACAGGAGTTCATTTCCTTCCCCCATGCTCTGAAACCTGCTCCTTGTTTGATGTCCCCATCTCAGCAAACAGCACCCCCCAGTGACCTCAGGTGGAAACCTAGGAATTATCACTCTCCCTCCTCCTGTCGTTTACCCCTGCAAACCAACCAATACCCAAATCCTGTCAGTCATATTGCTGAACATCTCTTGAATGTTAAATCGCCTCTTCAGCTCAGGCCTCATCCTCCCTCTCATGGACCACAGCAGCAGCAACCTCCTCACCGCTCCCTCTGGTCTCAGGCCCAGCCTCTCTAATCTTCCTCCATATTTCTGAGAGATCAAGTTATTTTTTGTCTTTCAATTTGTTTATCTGATGTATACGTTTATTGATTTACAGATATTGTACCAGCCTGCATCCCCAGAATAAATCCCACTTGTTCATAGTGTATGATCTTTTTAATGTTTTGTTGGATGCGATTTGCTAATATTTTGTTGAGGATTTTAGCATGCAAGTTTTTTAAAAATACATATATTTTTATTGATTTCAGAGAGGAAGGGAGAGGGAGGGAAAAATAGAAACATCAACGATGGGAGAGAATCATTGATTGGCTGCCTCCTACATGCCCCACACTGGGGATCGAGCCCGCCACCCGGGCATGTGCCTTGACTGGGAATCAAACTATGACCTCCTGGTTCATAGGTTGAAGCTCAACCACTGAGCCACACCGGCCGGGCTTTAATATATTTTAAAAATTGATTTTAGAGATAGGGGAAGGGAGAGAGAGAGAGTGGGAAACATTGATGAGAGAAACATCGATTGACTACCTCCTGCACGCCCCCCCTCTCCTCCCTGAGGATCAAGCTGAAACCAGGCATGTGCCTTGTCTGGAAATGAACCGGCAACATCTAGGTACATGGGAGGATGCTCAACCAACTGAACCACACCAGCCAAGCGAGATCAAGCTTTTGAACACACAAATCTGACCAGGCCAGTAACTGCTTAAAACCATTCAATGGCTCCTCATTGCCTACTAAATAAAGCCCCAACTCAGCCTGGCCTTCAAGGGCTCCTAGTTTTTCCAGTCCTATCTCTGGAAGCTCCCCTCTCACCTCACCCACCCCAGTCAGGCAAATCTCTCACCCTTTTCTGCACCCCCTCCTCCACACTCCCCCAACAGCTTGTTCTCCTGCGTAGGTAACTGCAGAGAGAAATGAAGAGAGAGAGATTTGGAGAGGACAAGAACAGCAGCAACACCCAGAGAGGCCAGGCCTGGTTTACTGAGCTTCATACCTGGAAGGAGTGGGAGCAGGAACAGGAACAGAAGGCCCAGTCTGGAGAGGCCAAGGCAGTGGCTCCTGGGCCCCATGGCCCTGCGGGGCAGGTCCCTGGGTGTGAGCCTCCTGGCTCGACCTAGGGCAGCATCAGGGCCTGCTAGCAAGGATGGTGTGGACAACACCTGGAAGTCAGAAGGAAGATCTTTGGTGGGTCCAGCTACCCACTGGGGAGCCCTGCAGCCCATCTGGTTATCTGACTCTCCTTTTTTGTACTTGTCCTTGGATTTTAGTACTTCTTCTCTGCTGGACCTTGCCTCTTCTGGCCTCTGCCTCTGCCCTTTCCTCTGCCCCTCCACTCCCTTTACCTCACACTCAGCTTCCCTGGCTCTGTTTCCTTCTGTCTATTTCTCTGTAACTCTTTCTTCGTCTCTCTTGGCTTCTCTGACTCAGATCTTCCTCTTTTCACTCTCTCTTCTTTTCTCCTCCTTCTATCTTAGCCCCCCTGACTTCCTGCTTCCGTTCCCCATACCTGGGCTCTGGATGAGCCTGGTGCATTCTCCATCAGGGTCAGGGACTCCATCAGTCCTGATCCCTCGGAGGCACAGGACAGCAGGCCCCTCCTCTGGGCCCTTTTCATTAGCTTAATTACACCTGTGCAAGGGACTAGAGAAACTGAAACTGATACTTCAGGCCACTGGGACCTGAATTATTCAAGTTCTGTAAGGCAGCACCCAGGCTCTGCTTAGGCCCAGCCTGAAGGGGTTGAGGGTAGAGAAATGCCAGGTTTAGGATCTGTAGGACACTGGGGCTTAAGGGTGTTAAGGGTCAGAACTTATGGATGGTAACTCTACTCCCAGCTCTGACACTCAGAGAGGTACTAAACAAATCTGTCCGGGTGGTTGGTGCCAGGCAGACTCTCCATTCCTGCTGGGAATGGTGCTGAGCCGTATGCTGCTCCAGGTGGCAACACAGAGTAGGAAATGCAGCCCACTTCCTCACCTCTGAGTCTCCACAGCCATCCAGTCCGAGCTTCAGTGTTCTCTTCTGCCCAAACACCGTGGGCCAGGAAAAACACAGACTTTACTGGTAGAGTCACTTTCAGCTCTGATTTTAAAATATATATTTTTTTATTGATTTCAGAGAGGAAAGGAGAGGGGGAGAGTGAAACATCAATGACGAGAGAGAATCACTGATTGGCTGCCTCTTGCATGCCCCCACTGGGGATCAAGCCGACTGGGAATTGAACCCTGACTTCTTGGTTCATAGGTCAACACTCAACCACTTAGCCATGCAGGCCCGGCTCACTGTGGTTTTGATTTGCATTTCCCTAATGATTAGCGATGTTGAACATCTTTTCATGTGCTTATTGGCCATTTCTATATCTTTGGAGAAATGTCTACTCAGATCCTTTGTTTTTTATTTGGGTTCTTCTTTTGTTATTGAGTTCTAAGTCTTCTCTATGTATTCTAGATATTAATCGCTTACCAGATACATAATTTACAAATATTTTCTCCCATTCTCTGGGTTGCCTTTAACTCAATTGACTTTTAATTAAATTATTATTTGATTGATTTTAGAGAGAGAGAGAGAGGAAGGGAGCGAGAAAGAGAAACATCGACTTTTTTGTTGCACTTATTTATGCATTCATTGGTTGCTTGTTGAATGTGCCCTGACTGGAGATTGAACCCACAACCTTGATATATCGGTACAATGATCTAACCAAACTGAGCTACCCAGCCTAGAGCCTACTCAGTTGATTGGTTTGTTTGTTTGTTAATCCACACAGAGGATATTTTTTCCATTGATTCCAATTTCCCTTGTGGTTTTGTCTTTGTTCCATTGGTTGAATATGTTGTTTAATTTCTAACATCAATGTGAGAGAGACACATCGATTGGTTGCCTCCTGCATGAACCTGCAACCCAGATACGTGCCCTTGACAGGGAACTGAACTCATGACCCTTTGGTGTGCAGGCAGACACTCTAACCACTGAGAGACACCGTCCAGGGTTCAAAGGACTTTTGATGAACAAACTTAAAATTTTCTAGTAGTCCCATTTGCATATTTTTTCTTTTGTTACCTTCACCTTTAATGTCATATCCAAGAAATCATTACCAAATGTAATGTGGGGAAGCTTTTGCCCTATATTTCCTTCTAAAACTTTTATAGTTTTAAGTCTTACATTTAAGTCTTTGATTGATTTTGACTTAATTTTTGTATATGGTGTTAGACAAAACAGTCCAACTTCAGTTCTTTGCATGTGGACTCCAGTTTCCCCAACACCATTTGTTGAGAAGACTGTCCTTTCCTCCATTGAATGGTTGCCGGGAGCCGGTCCATCCTTGCTGCTTGACACAGTCGCTGCAGGAAAGAAACATCTGCACAGCATATGTTTCAAGGGACCTGGTGTATATAGCATACTGTTCTTAATGTTTGCTCCCCTTCTTGGCGCTATGTGTTTTAACCAAGGTCACCTCTCCGAGAAAGGTTGTTTCCCCAGGTAGGGATTTTTCCCTGAAGTTAGGGAGGGGATAAAACCCCTTAACTACGTGCCAGGCGGGTAGTTAATCACTTTAACTACGAACAATCACACTTAAGCTACATAATCTTTACTCCCTGGAATGGAGATAAGAAATGCCTTAACCTTTGGAATAGAGATTGATAGGATTGGAATCAACTGGTATAAATACAGATGTAACAAGACAACTAGAGACAGAACCTAGACACACAGAACCTAGAGACAGAACCTAGAGACAGAACATGGCAAAAGATCCTGGACAGAAACTGGCAACAGAACCTAGAGACAGAACCTAGCAAGAGAACCTGGCTGAAGAACCTAGAGACAGAACCTGGCTACAGAACCTGGATAGAACATGGCAAGAGAACCTGACTAGAACCTGGTGACTGAACCTGGCTGGAGAACCTAGCGAGGGAACATGGCTACAGAACCTGGCTGGAGAACCTGGAGAACCTGGCTGGAGAACCTAGCAAGAGAACATGGACACAGAACTTGGCTGGAGATTGTGGCTAGAGATCCTGGCAAGGCTGCTGATCAACTGAACGCTGTCTCCGTGTCATTCCTTCTTCGCTGACTCCGTCCACACTTTTGGGGACCCCTTTGGGTCTTGGCACCCTTGTCAAAAATTACTTGACCATGTATGTGAGGGTTTATTCCTGGGTTTTCTATTCTATACCTAGTGTACATGGTTGTCTGTATGTCAGTACTGCACGTTTTTAAAATATATATATTTTTATTGATTTCAGAGAGGAAGGGAGAGATAGAAACATCAATGATGAGAATCATTGATCAGTTACCTCCTGCACAGCTCAAACTGGGAATAAAGCCAAAGACCTGGGCATGTGCCCTTGACCGGAATTAAACCTGGGACCCTTCAGTCCACACACCGACACTTTATCCACTGAGCCAAACTGGCTAGGGCAGCACTGCACTCTTTTGATGACTATGGCTTTGTAGTTAAGTTTTGACATCAGAAAGTGTGTCTCCATACTTATTCTTTTACAAAATTGTTTTGGCTATTCAGGATCTCTTGAGATTCCACATGCATTTTAGGATGAGTTTTTCTATTTTTGAGAGAGAAAAAAACTGCCGAAACCGGTTTGGCTCAGTGGATAGAGCGTCGGCCTGCGGACTGAAGGGTCCCGGGTTCGATTCCGGTCAAGGGCATGTACCTGGGTTGCGGGCACATCCCCAGTGGGGGGTGTGCAGGAGGCAGCTGATCGATGTTTCTCTCTCATCGATGTTTCTGGCTCTCTGTCTCTCTCCCTTCCTCTCTGTGAAAGATCAAAAAATATATTAAAAAAAAATTTTTTAAAAAAACAAAACAAAAAAAAAACCTGCTGCTGGGGTTTTGTTAGGAATTGCATTAAATCTGTAGATTGCTTTGGATAGTATGGACATCTTAGTATTAAATATTCCAATTCATGAGCATGGGATGTCTTTCCATTTGTGTCATCTTTAATGTTTTATACTTTTCAGTATACATGTCTTTTGACTACTTGGTTAAGTTTAGTTCTATTTTATTGTTTTTTGAAGCTATTGTAAATAGAATTGTTTTCCTAACTTCCTTTTCATTGTTAGTGTATAGAAATGTAACTGAGTTTTGTGTAATTTTATATCTTGCTACTTTGATGAATTCATCTAACGATACAGGATGTCCCCCCTCCCCCCAAAAAATGTATACACACTTTAACAGCTGATAGCTCAATTTTAAAAATGAAATACATTTTAATAAACACTGCCTTTATAATTATTCAAAGTGTGTGTATACATTTTTGTGGGGACACTCTGTATTAGTTCTAACAATGCAGTGTTTTTTGTTTTTGTGGAATCTTTAGTTTTCTACATAAAAGATCATATCACCTGCAAACAGAGGTAATTTTTTTTTTAAATCTCAGACTTTACACTTCTTTTTTTTTTAATTTTTAAATGTATTTTATTGATTTTTTTACAGAGAGGAAGGGAGAGGGATAGAGAGTTAGAAACATCAATGAGAGAGAAACATCAATCAGCTGCCTCCTGCACACTCCCTACTAGGGATGTGCCCGCAACCAAGGTACATGCCCTTGACCGGAATCGAACCTGGGACCCTTCAGTCCGCAGGCCGACGCTCTAGCCACTGAGCCAAACTGGTTAGGGCAAAAGAGATAAATTTTAATTCTTTTTCAATTTGGATGTTTTTTTGTCTTCCTTGCCTAATTGCCCTGGCTAGAACTTCCACTACCATATTGAATGGAAGTGGTAAAAGCAGACATCCTTGCCTTGGTCCTGATCTTAGAAAACACTTTTACTTCACCACTGAGAATGCTTGTTGCTGGTTGGCTGTTACTATGCTCAAGTAATTTCTTTCTATTCCTAGTTTATTGGACTTCTTTTTTTTAAATCATGAAAGAATGTTCAATTTTGCCAAATGCTTTTTTCTGCGAGATGATCACGTACTTTTATTCTGTTAATGTGGTTTATGACATTGATCAGTTTCCACATGTTGAGCCATTCTTGCATTCCAGGATTAAATCCCACTTGGTATGTAATCCTTTTAATATGCTACTGAATTCGGTTTTTGAGTAGTTTGTTGGGGATTTTTGGCATCAATATTTATAAAATGTATTGGCCTGTAGTTTCTTCTTTTAATGTGTTTTTTGTCTGGCTTTGGTATCAGGGTTATGCGGCCTCATAAAATGAGTTATGAAGTGTTACCTCTTTAATTTTTTGTTTTGGTAAAATTTGAGTATTGGTAAATAATTCTTTAAATGTTTGGTACAATTCACAAGACATTAGGTCCTGGGCTTTTATCAGATTTTTAAATTACTGATTCAATTTCCTTACTAGTTATAGGTCTACTCAGACTTTGTTTCTTCATGATGCAGTCATGATAGTTGTGTTCTAG